TAGATAAAAAATGATCCTGATATTATTCTAAATTGATTTATGTAAAAAAATTACTTTTGAAAAAATTGTCAATTTGGCCCCTTTCCCCAGCTCCTAGCCCAAATATTTGATTCGATTTTGTGGGGTACTACTTATGATGCTAATAATTTAGAAAATAACTTGTCTCTATAAGGAGATTGTGGTTTTTGATTTCTCGCACCGGTGCGAGAAATCTAAAAACCACAATCTCCTTATAGAAACAAGTATAAACAAATACTTTATTGAAGTCGATAATTTAAGAAATAATTGATTTCAATGTGCTACTTGATTATGCTCCGAGCAGGCCATCTCCCCAGAGTTAATGTAACGTATAATTAAGTAGGCATAATTAAGTAGCACATTTGAAATCAAATATTTCTTAAATTATCGACTTCAATAAAATATTTGCACCGTAGGCATAATTAAGTAGTATATTTGAAATCAAATATTTCTTAAATTATCGCCTTCAATACAATATTTATGAACAAACTTTATTCTTTTTTTCTTTTCTTGTAATTTGTTATAAAAAGAGTGTGAATCCCCCCTTGGAGAGTGTGTGTGCACCTTTCACATAATAAATTCCTTAATAAAGTCTAAAAAAACCAAATTCACCCAACGCTCATTAAAGTTTTACCTGTATTCCACCGTTGTAACTTATTTGACATTGACCTTAGACCGAATCTTTAGTGACAATTCATCGCTTTAATCTTTTCTTTGGTGTGTGTATTCTGTCCATTTAGCCCACGACAGTAGTTATTCATCATGTCTGAAATTAAAAAACTAATTGAAAGAAACCAAAATTGGTCTAAGACTAAAAGTTCAAAATTTTTTGAAGATCTCACTAATGTTCAAGAGCCAAAGTTTATTTGGATTGGTAAGATCAAAAGTGCTATGTAATGAAATAATAATACATTCAATTTATTCTCCGAACTATTCACAATATCAATGCATTGCTTATATTATATTTACAATTATTCATATTATACTATTTATATTAAAAAATATTTCGGCAAAAACCCGTATATACAAGATTAATACTGTATATGCTTATTCATAACATATTTATAAATTCCGAAATTTTATATTTAATTGAAATCACAAATTATAGGTTGTTCTGACAGCAGATGTTCTCCAGAGATAACAACACAATCAGATCTTGGTGTGATCTTTGTTCTTCGAAATATCGCTAATCAGTTCAAGACTACTGATTTAAGTGCATTATCAGTATTAGAATACGCAGTAGAACATCTTAAAGTAAAACATATAATCGTTTGTGGTATGTAATAAAAGTTTTTCCAATTTCATAAATAAATAATATTAAAACTATAATTTTATGCAATTATAGGACATTATGAGTGTGGTGGTGTTGGTCATGTTATAGATTCTTTATGTAAGTATTCCAAAAGCATATATTATTTTGGCCAAGCAGTAAGTCTTATCATTTGTTTGATTGCAGATAATAATAAGCACGGCCACGTTGATAATATTGATAATTGGTTAAAAGACATCAAGGAGGTTTACTTATGTCATTCTAGTCAATTTGATAAACTCGACAAAGATGAGAAGAAGAAATTATTGGTTGAACTTAACATTACGAAACAGGTTTCCAATATCTCTTCTATAAAATTTTGTTCAAAAAAATAAGGTTATCGTATATGGTCTAGTTTATAACATGAAAGAAGGCATGCTTAAAATTCTTAATGCAACTATTGGTGATGCAAAACGTAGGTTGAATCAAATTCAATCTTTTTTTTTGTCATAAATATTTATTAATTTTGATTTTTCGTTGTAACTTAACGTTTTACTTGATAATTCTTGATTTATAGCTAGTAAGTTATAAATGTTAATTTTTTTATTAATCCATATTTCAAATGCTTATTAATGTTGCTTTTTACTGATATCTATAAATGTCGTTAATAACTGCAGCAAGTAAGTTAAATGCATGTATTTCTTAATTATTTACATCATAGCTTATAGGTATAAATATTTTAAACAAATACTTAGCTTATTCTAGAAAAAAATTTAATTATCCATGGGGAGTAAATGAGGACATGAAAACACCTGCATTGACCATTAGATCAATAAGGAAACTTAGAGATGATGAGCATGGGATGGTTGATTATAAAGAGAACGCACCCTATGAAGTAGAAGTGAATGAGGAAATTGAGGATGGAAATAATATCTCTCATTCAATTTGGCTTTTTGCTAATGCAGACTATGATACTGTCAGACCTCCTAGTTTCAATTCAGATGCCCCTATTATATATTACATTCTTAGTAATTTAAGAAAACAAGTTGAAATACCTTTACTAAACAAATGCTCTGTAAATGGACGCACAATTTACTCAGTAAGAGGTACTCAAGATGTTCTGAGCAATGTAAGAAAAATGAAATGTTACATCTAAATGATTTATTGCTGTAATGTGATTATTGATATAATATATTCATAATTCGACTAGCTTATTTAAATTAGGGTAGCTGCGCGACGTAGTCGCGCTCAAACCAGGAACGTAATATAAGTAGTAGATATATACCGGCAATTCGAGTTTAGTAAAGACCTTTTTCAATAATTATACCTTATACATTTCATTTCAAGTACTGTTTATCTTTAAATTAACTTAAATTTGCAATATACCTATGAGCTAAAACATG